GCAGCGGTTGGGGGCAGGGTCAGCGGGGGGAGGGGGCTCCGGGGGGGCCCGGGCCGGGGTGGGGGTGGAAGCAACCCGACCCTACGTGGGGATCCCTGGACAAGGCTGGGCAGAGTGCTCCCTGAGCAGCTGGGTGCTGGAGATGGGCCCCAGCGGCAGTGCACAGTGCATGCGGGAGTAACAGGCCGGGCAGAGGGAGAGCAGGTGGGAGCCAGGAGCAGGAAGGAGCAGAGGGCAGGTTCCAGTCCAGGCCAGCCCCATGTGCTTCTCCCCTGCAGTCTCCAGCGGAAGCTGGGCTTGGGAGGGGAGGCCAGCGCCTCGAAGATACCAGGTTTGTCTGCACTACTTCGAGGAAGCAACACCCTGTCTGGGGGCGACTTGGGGTGCGTGACCTGAGAGGCTGCGGTCCCTACCTTCTTGTGCTTGGCCGGCCCTGTGTGGGCCAGGCCGAGAACTTGCACTCTCTCTGGGAGCAAGTGTGTGAGCTCCAGGGCTTCTGGGCGCCACCCCTGCTTGCAGGGACACCCGAGGGGACCAGCCTCTGTCTCTTGGCTCTCTGTGCAGCCCCTGGGGTCTGCACAGCCAGGTCCCAGCCCTGTGTACCATTGGTCCCAGATGCCACCACCCCAGGGATGACCTGGGCTCCTTGCCAGGCTGGTGGCTCTGTGGTCGCTCTCTGGGGAGTGGGGAGGCCGGGAAACGCCGCATTCTCCAAGCTGGCTGCAGAGCCCTCTTCTTGAGACAGACGTGTGGAAATGCCAAGGGCTGCCTTGGAGCACCGGGAAAGCCACAGGCAGGGAGGTCCTCACTGCCAGGAAACAGGTCTCGGATGTGGGCCCTGCCGAGCGCTGGCTCGTCCTGATGCCGGTCCGAGCAAGCGAGCCCCAGCAGCATGCCGCCTTTGCGTTGTTTTCTGAGGTTGCTGTGTCCAGGGCACTTGCCAGGCAGACACGTCCTGCGTGTTGGGTCTGTCTGCTAATAAACTAATTGCCCCGGCTCCTCCGTGTTGCATCAGGGACTTTGGAAGCTGAACTGTCTTTCGGCAGCCAGTTCCTGGAACTGGCTTTAAGGACACCCTTTGGAAGACAGAGTGTCCCTGAGTGCCGAGTCCTCCCCTTCTGTTCCTCCCAGCCCTGGAGGCTCCAGGCACCTCTTCCCCAGAGGACCAGCTCTGGCTGCTGTTCCAGACTCTGGGCACAGGGGATGGGCTGGCGGGGGTCCACACATATTCCTGCGCCCCGAGCTTCCAGCTGGCTCCAGCAGGGCCCTAGGAGGATGCCCTTCCTCCAGCCACCTCCCGTAGAGGGGACAGAGGTGCACAGGCCCCTCCTGACTGATTTAACCCTGCCAGCCCTCAGAACCTGGGAGGACAGGGTGACAGCACAGTTGGGACAGCCTTGCTGTCATTGGGAGGGTGGAGCTGGTCAGTGGGGGCTCTCAGGAGCATCCTGGTGCCCAGTTCCCCACGCCAGCCAGGCCAGGGCTGCAGTGTGACATGCCACAGGGCCCCCACGAGGCGTGGGGCTCTTCCCCACCTGTGCAGGCTGTGCCGGCCCCGAGCTTGCCCCTGGGCTGTGGCAATGGCTTTGCCAAGGCGCCCCTCAGCCTCAGAGCAGCTGAGCCGGTCCACAGGTGTGCCAGGGTCACTGCTGAATGACAGGAAGGGGTTCGTGTCCTCGGCTCTCAGGGGCCAGGGTGAAGGATCTGTCTCCTTCCCTGTGACTCTGAGGGCTCTGTCCTGGGGGGCGGGCAGGGCTGGCCTGGCTCCCTCTGCCCCTCAGGCTCCTTCTGCCTGGCCCGTGTGACCTGCAGTGTTGCCTTCCCAGCTTTGGCAGATGAAGCTGGCTTCTACTTCTTCAACGGCAACTACAAAGTGGACAGCCCCAAGAACTTCAACATTGCCGGCACCGTGGTCAAGTACCGGCGGCCCATGGACATCTACGAGACGGGCATCGAGTACATCGTGGCTCAGGGGCCCACCAACCAGGGCCTGAATGTCATGGTGCGTGCGTGGGGTGGGGGCTGGGCCACTGCTTCCCAGGGTGCAGCCACAGGCCGGGCTGTGTCTCGCCTGCCTGCTCGGGGTGCGGGCGCCGCTCACGGAGCCGCTCAGAGGCCTACCCACGCGTCTGTCTGCTCAGTCCCCGCCTGGGGTCCACTTGGGTCTTAGTTCCTTGTCTTTCTCCCGTGAGCGCCTGACTTCATTCACCTTCCCCTGTGTCCTTGCTCGCTCGCCGCCCTCCTCCCTCCACTCCTTTGCTCGTTTTCGCTCGGCTCACTTGGCCCTGTGAGTGCTCAGTAGTCGGTCAGGCGTTGGTCACGGGCTCAGCCAATCACTCGCCCCTTTGCTCCTCCGGACAGTGCTCATTCATCCGCTGGTGAGTCCGCTGTCCGTCCCTTCGCTTGTCTGTCCTTAGAATGGTTCGTCCTGCTCGTTCATTTGTTCATTCACACATCTGTCCACCCCTTCATTCACCCCTTTCTCCACCCATTCAGCTGTTCATCTTTCTGCACTGCTGTAGCTCCCTGTGCACCGGCACTGCCAGAGCCTCCGTGCTGACCCGTCCTCTGCTCACCAGGGGCCCACAGGAGCCAGGAGGAGGCTTGCAGTCCACCCCTGGGGTTGACACCCCCTAGCTCCAGCCGGTCCTGTTGACACTGTGGGGACAGCTGCAGAGCTGGGCGCCCTGGCCCTGCCTGCCTGGGATGGTCAGGCTTGGCAGTGGGGAGCAGGAAAGTGTGGGCCTGCTCTGCGCAGCTCGCCGTGGGTGTCACCATGATTGGCAACTGGAAACTGTGCTGCTGCACAGGCCTGGCCCAAAGGCAGAGCTTATCCAGGAATCAGCCGCTCCCGAGACGGGTGGATCTGGAGCTGGCTTTCACAGGGGCTGAGGCGCCTTCCTATGGGAGTGCTTTTGAATTTTGCTGCCACCGCTACTGAGGCAGGCTGGCCCTGGGGGAAGGAGGCTGGGATGGAAGTGTGGCACCAGAGGGCGTGGGGGCGGGGCCTCTGGAGCAGCCCCAGGAGATGGGGGGCTTGGGCAGAGGGCGGTGTGGACCTCAGCCTTCCTACTATCCACCTAACTCAGGCTGTGCATGGGGTTGAGGGACACTGACCCCAGGAGGGGTCACCTGGCTCAGAGTGCCCGGCCCTAGCAGCTTGGCTGTGGACTGTTGCTGGTCCCCTTCGAGCAGCCCACCAAGGATGGGCGGGTCCATGGGGTGCAGCCCTTGCTATAGCGTGGCCCGGCCCCTGTAGGACAGTGCTGGGTGGGACTGGTGCTGATTTGGCCAGCCGAGCTCCCAGTCGTGGAAGGGACTGAGCAGTCTGGGTGGTGGCAGCCACATCACTGAGCCCCTGTGCAGAGCCAGCAGCAGGCAACTGGAGCTGGAGCCAGGCTGTGTCGGCAGACAGAGCCCTTCTGCCGTTAGGTGGCTGTTTGGTGGCTCTGGCCCCAGCCTTCTGTTTGTTCCCTCTGGGCTTCTGACCCACAGCCCTGCCCTTTGCCTGGCCCTGAAGCTGACATCTTATTTTGGGTCAAGATGCTGCCTGCACAGCGGGTGGCTGCACTGGGAGCATTTCCTTCCTTCCTTGTCTGAGGGGCCATCTCGAGGTAAATCCTCCTTTGGACCAGTGTTCCTGGATGTGGAATCCTCCCTCGTGGTGGTGGCGTGAGCTGCAGGAATCTCCTCTGAACCCTGAGGTGTCCACCGATGGGCTTAGGGTCCCTGAGTCTTTTTAGGGTTGAGTCTCTGGCCATCTGGAGGATGTGGAGGCCTCCACTGCCTCTTCCTGACCTGACAGACACAATGTCATGGACAGGGAGCACAAGGCACAGTGTCGCATGGAGGGTGATGGTCCCTGTAACCTGTTATGACCGGGAGCTGGATGTTCATGTAGCCCTGGGTCACTGCTGTGCACCTGCGCCCCGTCTATCCCATGTGGAGAGATGCTGCTCTGGGCCTCCCCAGCTGGAGACAAAGAGAATCCACCTCCAACTTAGTGGCCACAAGTGCCCAGCTTGCAGCCATGTGAGTGGGCTCTAGAAAGGGGACCACCCTGGCCCAGAGCTGCAGGGGCTGTGAACCAGCTGGGACACACAGCACACAACCACACATAGGTGGCAGGTCCACTAGAGCTGAGGAACCCCCACCCTGAGCTGCAGGATGCAACTTCTGGCCCTGATGTCTGCCATCTCCCCAGGATGCAAAGCTGTCTTGGATTTGGGGTGTCACGTAGCCTTGTCACAGTGACAGCTCCACCCCCCCAGGTCGAGGGCTAGTGTAGGGGATCTGCCAACTCCAGCTGTGATGCTAGGGACAGGGAGCCCACGGGCCAGGAAATGTACTGCGAGCACACTGGGCCACAGTGCGGTGCCTGGGGGCTCTGGTTCTCAGTGATGACCTGGACCCTGGTTCTGGGTCCCCACCCACTTCTCCAGGAACCAACTGCCTGCCCCTGGAGAGGACGGGGGTTCCTAGCTGTATGAACTGTGGATCCTGGGTCTGCAACCTGGCTCAGGACCTGAGGAAGTACGGTGGCATCACGCAGGACCCCGGTCCTGGCTCCCGACCTCCACCTTGGTCTCTTGTGCTCACACAGTTGAGTAGCACCATTTCCGGCCCATCCACTATCACGTGTCCATCATCCTGTTGGCCGTGTCCGGAGTTCTCCGTGGACCAGGCCCCAGGCGACCATATCTGCTACTGTCCACAGTGAAATGTGTGTCCACCTTGCTTCCATTTTGTCACTGCCTTTATTATATCAGGCCCCCGGCACTGCCCCGGCTGCTGCCGGGCTCTGGTCTGAAGCAGCCTCTCCTGCCACCAGCCGGGCCTGAGAGGACGCCCCGCGTGTCCCTGAGTGATGCTGGCATCGTTTCTTTTCTCATTGGCGAGTGGAATGTCCTGCAGACTTCCCGAAGAGCAGAGTCCCCTAGTGGCTTGTCCAGGGGAGGCGGGGTGCTTGTCCCTCTCTTAGTGTCTGCCCCACTGGCTCTGCCTCCCAGAGTTGGGTGCTCCATCAGCCTGGGGCCCCCCATGAGTCCAGGGCACACACTTCCCCCTTGGGGCTTCCTGGATCTGGTGAGGATGGGGCGTGAGCCAAGCTGTTGTCAGGAGTCCTAGGAGCTGGGCTCAGCCCAGGGGCACGAGGAAGTGGGAAGAGGGGGCCTTTGCCAGCTTTCCAGGGAGACCCAGCCCTCTCCAGGCCCAGAAGGTTCCGTGAGTCAAATTTCACATATTCTGAGCCTCCCAACTCAGGTCTCTGGATCCACATCCCAGGGACCCACGCTGTGGTCTGACCTCGTCCTTGGTCCTCCTCTGCCCTTCTGCCCTGGAGCTGTAGCCCTGAGCTCTCCTGTGTCCCCACCCTGCCCCCACTCTGCAGTCCCCATGCTACAGAGTCACCCTCTGCCCCCCTTACCAGTGCCTTGGGTTCCAGGTTCCTTGTGATTTCTTGGCCCCACCCTGTCCCCAGCCAACCCCAAAGCTGTGAGATGCCACCCGTGTCTCCCCCCTGGGGTCCTGTTCGACTGGTTCACGCTGCCTTCTGGGTCCTCAGAGTTCCGCCCGCTGCCTGGTTGACCCTTGTGGCCCCTGGGGAGGTGTGGGTCGATCCTGCTGCAAAGTCTATTTCAGAACCAGCTTCCAGGTGGCTCCTGCTTCAGGGTGGAGACCGGGATGCTGGGGAGACGGCCCCTGGCAGGAGAGGTCACGGGCCCTGAGGTCCCCACACAGGCCTGGGCCACTCCATGGGGAGTTCTGTGGCTAGGCTGTGCCCCCTCAGGGTTGTCCTGAATCGAGGCGGGGCCTGGGCCTCTGGGGGGAGGGGTAGAGCCCCTGTATCCCTGCCTACGGTTTCCGGCACACATGACGATAGCATGCAGGGTGGGTTTCAGCTGGCTTTCATTCTAGATGGTTCTCTGTAACTCTCTTTATTGCTTGTACCTGGATCTCCCCTAGGGCGTCTGTGTGAGGGGCCCCTGAGGGGGCGGTGCCCTCGGGTCTCTGTGACACCGGCAGCGCTGCAGGGAGGCCAGGATCTCACAACCGCTCCTCCCCAGGTGTGGAACCAGAACGGCAAGAGCCCTTCCATCACCTTTGAGTACACCCTGCTACAGCCTCCACCCGCTATCCACCGCCCGCCCGTCTACTACAGCTTCTCTGAGCCTGCCTCGGCCTCCGCCAGTGTGGAAAGCCAGGAGCTGGCCGGCACCAGGCTCCTGGGCTTCCTGCAGCGAAACGTCTCGCTCCACAGCCCCGGCTCCTCCGAGCAGCTGGGCCTGGACAACCAGCTGTTCGGCCCCCGGGGCCCTGATGTGGAGCTGGGCCTCCGTCAGGGCCAGGAGACCAACGAGGTGTGCGAGCCTCCCAGCAGCGGGGCCTGCCAGGGGCCCCCCAGGGGCAAGGGCTTCCGAGGTAACCAGGAGCCCCCTTGGGTGGTGGGGAGGGCGGGGCTCCCGGGACCTCAGCCCCTTCCCAGACTGAGAGGAGGTCAGGCTGTGAGGTAGGCAGCAGCCCGTCAGTGCCACAGAGACCAGGGCCAAGGTCCCTCTGACACCCAAATTCCCAGGGCCCCCAGGTGCCCTGCTACAGTGCTGTGGCATCGGCCCAGACCTGCTGTGGCCTCTGGCATGGTTGTCTCGGGTGACATTTGTATCACCCCTGACACTGCATGGGCCCGGGCAGCAATCGGATTGTTAGGGACTAGCAGGGCAGACCAAGGTCTCCCTCAATTCTGTTGAACCCCGGGCTGTGGAATCCAACCATGTGGACCCACAGAGGCAGCAGGCGTTGGAGATTGGGGTCCAGGTCTCCCAGGGGACACAAGGTTGGCACGGAGGCGACTTGACACAGTCATCGTGTGGCCCTGGAGGAGCTGGGGTCAAGAGAGCTGGGCTCCCATGGCTCACAAGGGGCCCTGGGCCACGGGGTGCTGCTCAGACGGGGCTCCCAGTGCCTGCTGGCTGGGAGTGACCCCTCTCATCTGCCTGTCTTGCAGCCTCCGTTCAGGGCCTAGGGGTCTCTCATCCTCTCTTCTTTGGAGGACACTGGTCACTCAGGGCCCACCCCAAATCCAGGATGGTTTCATCTGCTGGTCCCTCACTAACCCCACAGGCAGGGACCCTCCTTCCAAATCATGTCCAGCTGGCACATACTTTGGGGGACCCTGTCCAGCCCATGGGAGAGCCATTGGTCTCTAAAGAGTCAGAACTGGCTGTGTGCTTCTCACTCTAAGACCTTGGCTAAACTGGGCCTCCCCACCCCAGAACTGGGATGAACCCAGGGCCTTCACATGGAGCTACATTCCCAGCCTCCCCGACCCTTTTGTATTTTTGATTTTGAGACAGGGTCCAACTAAGTTGTTAAGTTTCCCAAGCTGGGTTTCAACTTGTGATCCTCTTGCCTCAGCTTCCCATGTGCCACCATCCTGACTCCAAACTGTGTCTTTCTGAGCCGAAAGGACCTCTCTGGAGCATCCTAATTCCCTTGCCCGGGAGGGACTCGCCATTCTGGAGTCCTTAAGGTAGCAAGGTGGGCAGCATTCACACACAGCAGGCGGCTTGAGGTCCAACTGCTTGTCCCTCTGCAGACCACAACGCCACTGGGACGGCACTTTCGGGGGACAAGGATAACCAGGAGGTGGGTGCTCATCTCCCTGCCCAGGATCCCCTCTCAGCCAATGCCATCTCGGACCAGCTCCTGGGCACAGGCTCAGACTCCAAAGAGCTTGCCCTCAACGAGACGGGAAACAGCATCTTCGCGCAGGGCGCCCCCAGGAGCCCTGCAACTGAGAGCTTCTACTCGGACTATGAGGAAGGCGAGGGGGCTGCTTACCTGGTCAATGGGTCCTACCTGGAGCTGAGCAGTGACAGGGTCGCCAATGCTTCCTCCGAGGCCGCCTTCCCCAACACCAGCGCCAGCCTCCCCACCTTGGCCGGGAACAGGACCCACAAGGCCAGGTAGGGGTCAGTTCCGCCCTGTGAGGGTCCCGGGCAGGGTCACCTGGCAGGGACCTGGCCAGGACGACCTTGAGGTGAATGGGACAGGGCTGCTCCCCTGGCACGCTGGGGCTGAGCGCAGGTTTGGGGCCTGGACCCCAGCGCGGCCCCCCAGCCGGAAGCCGTGGGCCGGGTGTCCCCTGCCGTGATTTCCCAGGCATCCCCAGCCCCGACTTGGATCTCTGTTGCTGAAGCCAAGTATGGAGCTGCCGGCTCTGAGTCAGGAGCTGAGGTGGGGAACTCAGACTGTCACAGCCTTCATGGTGTCCTGCTCCCCGGCTCAGAGGGACAGCCACCCCGGAGTCCCCAGGCCCTCAGCGCACAGGCCATCCCCCAGGCTGAGGACACCAGAAGGGTCTGGAAGTCCTCACTCAGGGCTGCCTGGAGCAGGGGTCGGGACTAGGCTGGAGCTGCAGCTGAGACAGGCTGTGAGAGCCACGGGGACCTAGACAGCCAGGGCTGGGGACACCAGGGTGGTCAGCCCTGGGGACACACATTGGTCAGTGCTGGGGACACATGGTGGTCAGCGCTAGGGATGGCTGGACAGTCAGACTAGGACTGGAGAAGCTGGAGGTCTTGTGTCCCCCTGGTTGGTGCGGCTCATGTGCAGAGTAATGCAGAGCTGCTGTCCAGTGTGGAAGATGGTCCCGGGGGCAGTGCGGCCGGTGGAAACATGGGGCCAGACTCTGCCACCTCTGAGGAGGCAGGATTGGCGTGCGTGGGGTGCTGCCTTTTGATTTGTGTCCTGGGAACCGGGCTGCGCAAGCCCTTGACTTCAGACCAGGCAAGAGCTGAACTCTGCCAGGGCTGGGGATTCTGAGGCTAGGGTCTTTGGGTTTGGCTTTGGTGGGAGATTTGGAGGCTGCTTGTAAGGGGATGGGGTTTGGACCATCTTCTCCCTTCTCCCCAGGGGCCTGGGGTGATGATGTGGCCCACCTGTGAGCCACAGAGACCAGGGCACAGGGCTGGGGGGACCTGGGGCACTGCCAATGGCTCACACGGCCTCCTCTGTGCTCCTTTGACCCAGCACCCTTACGGCTTCTGGGGAACAAGTACGACAGGCGTGTGATGCAGGAGAAGGGCTTGACCCGTAGAAGCTGCCGTAAAACCACACCTCCTGGGTGGCGAGAGGCCTACCAGGACCACGGCCCAGGAGGTTGGAGATGGGGTCAACCGGGGGCAGAGGCCCCTCTTGATCTGGCTCACGGTGCGGTGGAGCAGCTCATCCCACCCTCCTCTGGACCTCAGTTTCCTCCTCACCCTCCTCCCTGGGCAGAGGGGATGCACTGGGTCCCGCGCCTGTCACTGAAGCTGCTGTCAGCGCTCAGAAAGTCAGCCCGGCACAGTGAGCCGTGGCTGCTCCCACTGTCCAGCCGGGCGCCATCAAAGGGTGCTGCCGGAGGGGACCAGAAGTAGTCTGGGGAGATAAAGGGCTGAGGAGGCTGCTGGGAAACTACCAGGCCAAAATAGCCGTGTCTCGGGTTTGTCCAAACACAGGAAGTGGTGTCTGCCTGGGGAGCGGGTGAAATCAAAGGGGCAGCCCAGAAAGGAAGGGCTATTTTCATCTTCTCAGAAACGCTTCAAACAATGGGGTGGGGGGCGTTACCAGACGAGACTTCAACTTCGGTCCCACACATGCCTCTCTGAAGCCGTGGGGGGGAGAGGAAGACAGACCTCTCCGGTTCATTTATAAACAAACACGGTCATCTCAGAGCCGCTGCTGCTGGGGATGTAGGAGCCTGCGCTCCGCCAGGTGGCCGGGCAAGGACCCAGAGGCGGTGACAGGGTTGGGGAGCCGGCCACAGCGTCCCCCCACCCCCGTGGAGGTGGGCGGCCTGGCCATTCCCGGGGGCTCTTCTTGATGTTCCTTCCAAGATGGGGAGCTGTCAGCGCAGCAGTGTTGTGCAAATACGCCCAGGGCTTTGTTCCTCGCGGCACACGTGCGCCCACGCCCCACGTGCCGCAGAGGGGTGTGTGGGCAGCCCCTTCAGAAATACCACCGGGGCTTGAAATCCTAAGGGTTATTTTGGACTCAGCAGCTCTCCCCGGAGTGGAGTGAGTCATGCCGCCTGTTGGCTGGGAAGTGTGTAATTAGATGAAGATGGTGATGTTTGGCCCATGGCGGGCGGGCGGGGCGTGGGTCTTTTCATCCCTTTCTGCTCTTGGGGAGAATCAAAACTGTAGAAAGCAGGTGGGGCCCCATCCACCAGGCCATGTTTTCTGAATGGAGGGTTAGGGTTGGTCTTCCGTGTTCTCCCCTCCTGGGTGGATCTGCCCACCCAGACTGGGGCTTCGGAGAGTGAGTCCCACGGCGACTCTCCAGCTCCCTTGGAGCCCTAGTTGTGAGACATTAGGGTCGTGGCCCTGCTCCCCTTCCCCTGCCCTGAACCGAGGGCTGGGCCGGGCCGGCTTCCTCCTCTTCTCCCTGCGCCTGGCTCTGGCGGCACGGGGAGCTACATCAGTGGCTTGTTCCTCCAGCTCCTGTTGGAGCAAAACCAAGAGCCATTTGCACCCATGGGACTCAAACAGCTTCCGTTCACCCCAAGTCAACATCCCTGTCACTGAGTGGCCCGGATGGTAGAGCGAGGCCCCAGGACTCCGCCGAGCCCAGAGGTCCTCAGGAAAGGGCCACACATCAGGCCATGGGGGCCAGACAGTGAGCCAGCAGGGCCTGGGAGTAGCTGTCTGCAGGACCAGCTCCCCATGCCTTCCCTGACTCCAGCTGTGGCACGCCCTGGGGTTCAGCGCTGGCTGCTATGTCTTGGGCAGATGCCCTGGGTTGCTCCCTCTGTCCCTTGCAGCATCCAAAGAGCCAGTGCAGGAGACATGGGGTGGCCCGGGCTCACTGCCTGGTTCAAAGGAGCCAGAAGGCCTAACAATAGTTGGCCTCAGCTGTCCAAAGCCCGGCCAAGAATCAGCCAGTGGCTGGCTGGGCCCCAGCAGGCTCGTACCGGCCAGCGGTCTGTGTGGCCATCGGGACCCAAGCCTTGGTGTGGGGTGTGGCCTCTGCGTCTGCAGCTGGCCTTTGAATTCTGATCACCGGAAGCCAGATGGCCAGTGGCCTCATGCAGTGGGAGTCCCAGGGGAGGTAGGGAGCAGGAGGGAATTCCAGGACATTGTCAGACCTTTGTGTCTTCTGAGATCCCTTTTGGGCACGAGGGAGCCGTCCACCAGCTGGCATGGGCAGTGAGGCATGAAGTCTGCATGTGTGAGGAGAGCGGGCATTAGGGAGCCCAGGTCCCACCAGGCACCTGGAGTCCACCAGGCCTTCCAGGGGTGGGAAGGATGCCAGTGTGTGATGGCTTCTCTGGACTTCATCCCATTCTGTCCCCAGGGCCCTGGCCTCCCAGGTGGGGTCCTGGTAGACCCACTGGCTGAGCTGTGAGGCTGGCTCCTCACGGCCCTCTCTCCTCTCCTGGCCCAGGACCCGGCCCAAGGCGCGCAAGCCAGGCGTGAGTCCAGCCGACATGTACCGGTGGAAGCTGTCATCCCACGAGCCTTGCAGCGCCACCTGCACCACAGGTACTGTTGCACGTGTCACTGGGCATCATGGGGTGTCATGGGGCGCTATGGGCACCCACTCTGAGCCTGCCCCATGGTGCCCTGGGCTTGACTGAGGGGCTCCTAGGGGAGCTGGCCCGGTGGTGTGTGACCTGTGGGGTCATTGTGTTGTGTCAGTGCTGGGTGTCAGTCCCTCGGCATGCTGGGCTGCATGGGCCTGGGTTCCAGGGTCACCCGGATGTCCCCTGGTCTGCTGCTCTTGCCGTCGTCCAGTGTTAGGGCCTCTGGGAGCAGTAGGAAGCCTTGAAGGGCTGAGGGAGGGGAGGGGTGGTCTCTGAATCCATGCCTGAGTGCACAGGCCAAGTGTAGGCCCTATCCATCCTCAGGGGAGGAGCCAGGAGAGGAGCAGAGATCCCCGGGGAGTGGGTGTCGCGAGCAGGAGTGTGCACTAACTGCAGGTCGAAACAGTAGTAGTTGCCAACTAGATTTTTATATATTTTATATATCTGTCATACATCAAACATGTCCATTCATACCCACCTGTTGCCACTCCCTGTACCTGCACAAGTCCGAGGAGCGTGACTTTGTTTCTCCTTTCCTGGCGATTGCGGTTGTCGATCCAGTTGCCTCCTCCTCGATCTGGGGGTCCACACCGGGCAGGCTTCCGATGTCTCGACCGAGGTCTCGTCCAAGATCTCGTCTGGCAGGTTGCCGTCGAGCTGAATCGGTCACCGAGTGGGACGAGCTGGTCTTCTGCACTCTCTCTTTTATACCATTCTAAATGGGGTCTGTGGCACTGGTTCGGGTTTTATCACTTCACACATATTGGGGCTGTTTGAGTAGATATTGGGGCTGCACATGTCATAGGGTTCCACACGTTGAATTTAGATAACAGGGTTACTCGCGTCATAGGGTGACCTGTTGGGTTAGGTATCACTCTTACTCTTGGCGGGATTACATAGCAGGTTTCCCACATTAAGTCACTCTTGGTGGGTTTCACGGTCCGCTCTTGGGAACACACTGACATTGTACTTTGTTTGGCAAATGTCATAGGTCCACACGTTGAATTTAGATAACAGGGTTACTCGCGTCATAGGGTGACCTGTTGGGTTAGGTATCACTCTTACTCTTGGCGGGATTACATAGCAGGTTTCCCACATTAAGTCACTCTTGGTGGGTTTCACGGTCCGCTCTTGGGAACACACTGACATTGTACTTTGTTTGGCAGGCTTTATGTTCTCTGCATCCTATACACTGACCTGTGCTCTCTACAGGGGGCACCCAACGGAAAGACACCTAGGTGTCAAGGTAGCCTTGGGTCCTGGCTCTGGCCGTGTGGCCAGCCACCCCTGCCCTGGGTTGCTAGCCTTGGCCACGGGGCTCAGTGGTCTCTGCTGCCTACTTTGGTTTCCTACTTGGGGAGGCTGTAAGGTCAGAGTCAGACTGGCACAGGGGATTGGCATGGGGCAGTGGCAGGGGAGACCCTGAGGTCCAGTGCTGAGGTCACGCTGCAGCTACACTTGGGCTTCACATCCAGGCTTGGATATCACCAGGCTGCCCCTTGAGGTCCATGACATCCCCACCTTCCCTGAATCCCCAGCAGGCAGCCTTTGAACACTCTGCACACTGACCAGTGAGGACACTGAGGCATCCTGGCCTGGCTGTGCCCAACACCCCTGGTGACATCCTGGGGGCCAGGCCCTGGTGAGCAAGGACCATAAGTGGGGTTCTGCTCACACTGCCGGCCCCTCCTGGGCCCCTGGGCATGCTGAGGTGACCTCATGCCTGGCACCCTCAGGGAAAGTGACCCTCTGGGTGTGTGACAGGTGCAGGAAGGCTCTGGTGCTGCAGCTAGGGGACCCCGGCACACAGCTTCCCTGCCCTCCCTATGGACTGGGTGCATCCTTGTCTCAGAGACGGGTGGAGATCGTGGAATATGAAAAGCACCCCACATGATTGGGCTTGGCAGGTGTCACTATTCTAGACAAGCCCAGAACCGGAGCCAAGGGGCCTAGGCCCCAGGTGACCCTCCCTCCATGGGCTGGCCCGAGGGGAGGGGTCGGGCATGTGCTTTTCTGCCCATCCCGGCCTGGGCACTTGCATGTGCCCAGACTGGAAGTGAAGCTCTGGACACACCACTGGCTGAAGAGGTGATGGTACGGAGCTAATGCAGGCAGAGGTGGCCTCTGTGGCTGGGGGCTGAGGGACAGCCCTGTGTGGGCGACATGCCCGGGGAGAACATGGCACCATCACCTCTCTGGAAAGGGGACTGGGCCTCCCTGTCCCTCCCTGAGTCTCTCTAGCAATCCTCCCTGGAGCCTAGTACGTGATGCCCAGGCTGCGTGAGGCTGGAGGCCGGGCTGGCTGCTGAGGGACTTGGGGCCCCGTATATCATGGTGAGCTCACCAGTGTCCAGGGGAAGGCATGCCCACAGCTGTCCCCATGCCCCCCGGAACTGTGGTCCATTGTGGAGGGTAGAGTCAGTGGGTGAACCGCCCCTCGCCCTGCGCCTTGGCCTTGGGGATCTTGGTTTTCTTCTAAAGTGCTATTTTGGAGCAGCAATGCAGGTAGATGAGTTTGGGGCCATGGGCAGGGCTTTCCAGAATATTCCTTGGCTCCTCTCCCAGACACTGCAGTGTGCTGTGGGGACCTGGCTCAGGGGGCCGCTCACCCAGGCTGTTCTATGTCCAGAGACCACCCCGCCGAGTTGTCACAGACTCTGAGGGACATTCCTGTCCTGTGGTTGGCTCACTGCGGCTGGAGGAGTCTGGGTGCAATCAGAGGACCCCAGGGGGCTCCAGTGCCAGCCACTCTGTTGCCATCTAGGTGGTGAGGAGGAACCAGTGACTAGCCAGGCCCTGGGAAGTGATTGTGGGTCCCAGCCAGGGCACATGTTGCTGACAAGGGCTGCCTTCCCTGTGAGCAGGCTGAAGATGGTGCAGCTCGCTGCTGAAGGCAAGGTGGACATGCACCTGGCCTGACCTGCACGGGACCCCAGAACCCACAGAGGGCTGGGTCTTCCTCACTCACACCCCATAGCACCGACAAGAGGCCCCAGGGCACCCCAGGGTCTTTGCACACCAACCCCTACCCTGACTGGCCCTGGCTGCTGGGCAGGGGCTCCTGACCTTGTCGAGCTGGTCCTGTGCCTGTTCATGCCAGGGTGGGGAGGAAGGTGACAGGCTGGACACTGTTGGACGACGCTGGGTGTCTAGACCTGGGAGCCCAGGAAGACTGCCACCAGGGGAGTGGTTGCCATAGTCCAGAGGCAGCCGTGCTAAGGAGTCCACACCAAGACGCTGGGCAGCTGGGATGAGTGAGTGATGGTAACATCCCTCCTCCTCCACGTCTGGGCCGGCTGCGTTTGCCTCGGCCCAGGGTTCGGGCAGCCGAGCTGGGTGCCAGACCTAGGCTGGGCGGAAGAGCAGATCTGGCCACAAGGCGCAGAGGCTGAGCCAGCCTGGCCACCCCCCAACTCATGCCTTTCCCTCTCCCTGGACCCAGGGGTGATGTCGACCTACGCCATGTGCGTCCGCTACGACGGAGTCGAGGTGGACGACAGCTACTGTGACGCCCTGACCCGGCCCGAGCCTGTGCACGAGTTCTGCGCTGGGAGGGAGTGCCAGCCCAGGTCCCGCCTGGGCCCTCAGGGTGCTGGGGCCCATGGGCGGGGTGTCGGGGCGAGTGCTGGGCTCTGCCCGGAGGAGCAGCTGGCCTTGCACCGGGTCCTGCGGGCTCAGAAAGGAACCAACCCGAAGCAGACCTTCCGCTGTGAGTGGGGCCCACTTTCTCGCCTCCATCTTGCATCGTGGACCATGTCAAGGCCCGGCTCCAATGCCCCCGGGGGCCATCAGGCTGGGACCCCGAGATGCTGGCCTGGCTCCCAGAGGCCAAACATGTGCTGTCCTCTGCCTCTGCCAGGGCCACCTTCGCTCTGTCCTTCCTCCCTCTGCATCCTGGGCATTTGCTTCTTCCCGGGAAGGGCCGAAGAGCCCCGTGGCTTCAGCCCTCTTACTCCGGTCTGTCTTCCCGGGGCCCCCAGTTTCTCCTTGGTGCTCACCCCCAAGGCGGGGTGGAGAGGTTCACCCGGGCTCCTGTTCACGTCACACTGGCTCCAGGCGGCGGCTCTGGCGCTGGGGTGGCCACTCACTCCCAGGGGTTGGGGACCCATGGGAGGCAGCTGGGAGCCAGCACTGCGTCGGGGCTCCTGAGGACCCCTGCCCACCCCTCCCGTGTGGCCCGGCCAGCCGCGGTGAGGGCCGCCCTGAGAGGGCTGAGGACTGCCCTGCCCCGGCAGGTGGGAGACCAGCAGCTGGAGTGAGTGCTCGCGCACCTGTGGCGAGGGCTACCAGTCCCGCATCGTGCGCTGCTGGAAGATGTTGTCCCCCGGCTTCGACAGCTCCGTGTACAGTGACCTGTGCGAGGCCGCCGAGGCCGTGCGGCCTGAGGAGCGCAAGACGTGCCGCAACCCGGCCTGCGGGCCGCAGTGGGAGATGT